TAAAACGGGTGCATAATGTATTTGGTTCGTCATGAAATAATTGCATGATGAAACAGGTACATGATTAATCTGCTCCAGAATCTTGAAGATTGTAATCTGCTCCAGAATCTTGAAGAGTGTAAGGCTTATACGAATGAATTCATCAAATCAGAAGTGAAATAAGAAAATTAATTTACATAAAACAGGTTTCATGAAGGTGAAACTGGTTCATGGCGTAATTGAACAATGAGTAATGAATTGCTTTCATGGTAAACCTCGTTTCAGTGATGGTGTAGTTGATCCATTTAGTAGATGAAATGGAAAAATGAAACGGGTGCATAATGTAGGCGGTTCGTCATAAAATAATTGCATGATGAAATGGATACATGATGAAACCGGTGTTTCTTGAAATAATTGCATAATGAATAGGGTGCATATTTACATGGGTGTATGAAGGACATTGAAACAATTTCAGAATAAGGAATAAAAAGTCTGATGCATTAGCGAAAAGTGAATAAAGTTTATTATCAATATCATGAAATAATAAATGACTCATCAAACCATGAGTAAAATTTCATGTTTTATCATAAAATTTTATGAACTCGGTAAACAATGAAGACAATGAAACTATTTCATGTTTTATCATAAAATTTTATGAACTCGATAAACAATGAAAAAAATTCATTAATGTAACGGATCCATCTACCAGTAAAATGAAAATTAAGAAATATGATCAGTAATACGTTGATTAGTTTGTTGATGAAATTTTGAAACCATTTCGTTCATATAATTAAATTCAATTTTTTGTTTATTTCTTTTGAAACGATTCATTATATATAATTGACTATGGTGTGTTTTATTTATATTTTTGATATATTTTATTGATGGATGTTATTTTAAAAAATGTTAACGTAAAAATAATATATTACTTTATAAAAATAAAATTAGGAGGTTAGAGAAAGATGTAATTTTGTTTACCATTTTTCCCTTATTGCTAATATAAAAATAAAATTTTAATATATTTTTTTTAATTTCTTAAAATAAATTAAACTAATCTTGACCATTGATCAAGAAAATGGATGAATGAGATTGGTTTACATGGTTTACACAAATGGAGGCGGTTTTCATTTGATCGCTCCTATCTATATATATATATATATATATATATATATATATATATATA